GATCCCCTGGGCCACAGGGATAGATGTGTGCTGGCACAGAGTGTAAATTACACTGCAGCCACACTGGCACCATCCACATCCAAGATGAATGGACCAACTTTCATGCCAGGCTACAATTCCGAAGAGGGAAAACACAGTAACTGCGCTGCTTTCAAGTTGGGTCCATTTTTCCAAATCAATGTACTATTTCACTCTGATAAAAGAGCAATATTTCTAAACACACTGTTAAGGCCAGCATTATGTATTATTTCTGCTCTTTGCTTTTGGATTTAACCTTTGAAGTGAATGTGTCATTACACATTGCCATCTCAAATCTCAACCTCTGGCCTAATAATTCAATCTTAAATCAATAAGTAAATCAACAGGCAACACTTACTTATAATGTGTAAAGTGTGGATAATGCTTAAATAGGTTTATTGCTATTCACACTTTTCTTTTCTGCATAATAGCAGGACTTATAATTCCTTTTTTTTTTTTTTAGAAACCTATCTGTTGCCATGTATTGTAGATTTTCTAAGCTAATGAAATTCTAACTAATGAAATAAGAGCCTATATTTTGAGCCTCTGTTGATTTTAGATAGTTCAGTCTAACAATACGCTGAAAGAAATGTGTCAGTAGGCCAATAACAGTAACAAATCCTGATTTTAATGTTGAATTTGCACAAGATAACTGTTCATATGATCAAAACATTTTCCTGTCAGTTAGACAATCCCCTGATTATCTACTAATTCAACCCATATCCTTTAAGAGTAAATTCTATATATTTAATATGTATTTAGATATAGTTTGATTGAAATTGAATTCAAAACCAATCACTTGTCAAGTCCAAACAGTCTGATCATAGAATCAGTGCAAGATGACAGCCCCAGATTCTGTATACGATTCAGTATAGTGGTGAATTACTGTCAGGGAAAGAAGTGGGCTGGAGTAAGGTACCAGAAAAAGAGCAAGAGAGAGATACAGAGAGAGAGCGAGAGTAAGAGAGAGAGGGAGAGAGACGGAGAGAGAGACTCGAGTTAATGGTCTTGCATCTTCCTGGCAGCATGTCAATAATGGCTCTGATCACATTAAATAAAGAGTCCATTAGCTTATTCTCTTTCCTCCAGCATGCAGCACAGCAAAAGCACAAGAGAAAGCTGAAATGCTCTTCTAATGCAGCGAGTCTACATGTTACAGACACCACTATCTGTTCCCTCCACAACCAAAGCAAAATGACAAGGCAGGTTTACCTAGTCTGCAACCCATTAACCATTTACATTCATCTTTTAAACTTGTAAAAGGTCTGACTAGAATTCTATGAAATTGTAGAGATCAGAATGTGTTTAGGCAATGTAGGGGAAATTGCCAGTAAAATCTAACTTTGTTTCTAGTTAGGGGTGTAACTCTTAATTGTTACATATAATACCCAGGAATTTATTAACATTTGATGATTTTAAAGGCCTGATCCTCCTAAATTCCACAATCTTTAATTACTGAAGACTTTATTTTACTACTCAATACTGATCAAAAGATATTATACTAATTATACAGAAGAGTAACAGAAATGAATGATACATCAAGATACAGCACAACATACAATTATGTAGCCAAAAAGAAAATTGTGAGCATATGTTAATGCACCTACTCTGTTACGGCTTTCTGCCAAAATAGTAATCAAGACAAAGGAGATGTGATATAAATGGGAGAGAAAAGCATTTCTTCCAACACACACACACATACACACACACACACGTACAAACACATACACACACTGGACAGTCAGGCCATTTCTCAGCCGCCTCACTGCTCTCCATTGGCCCTGGAGGGAGCATAGAGGCCCCCACATCTGTCTCACAGGCCCACGACAGACCTGGCTGCTGCATCCAGACCCAGGAGATCACACGAATCATCCTCAATTAATGTGAAACATCAGACGTTCCCTCTCTGCTTCTATCACTCCACCGCTCTTCTCGGAGGCATCCCCTCTAGCTCAGTGCTGGGTCTGCTGAGTTTTACACATTGACCACAGTTACGGTTCCTTAGCACAGTTGGGTGAGGCAAGCCAACGTTACTGTGTTATTGCGCGCTTTGTGCCGAGAGACAGGGAATCAATACATCAGCCTCGACCCAAATGTTGCTCACATGTTAGTGCTGCGAGGCGGTTCTTAAGAGGTTCTGAACTCGGAGAGCGGCAGGCTTTGCTCTGCTACGCACTGGGGCCTGAAATGGCTTCCATGTGCTGCACCATCTGCACCTCTGCTGGGCTGTGGCCAAAGGATTGTCCTTTCCACTCTTTAAAAAAGCTGAGGGACAGCTTTTGAACATAAATGGTGGTGATGGTGGATGTCAGGAGAGTCTGATGAATCAGAAGTTATGAGACCTAAAACAATGGATATACTTTCAAAAACAGATAAAGAAAAAAAAACAGACAAAAGTCAGCGGGGAAAGAAATGGAAACTGTTTACAAAAGGCCACCTGGAACCTGGTATGTGCCAGGTTGTGACTCACCAGTTGTGCTAGAGTCTTCTGTAATAACCTCCTGACCCACCTTCCCTCTGTCCTCAGTCTACAACTGCACTATAAATCTCACCCCAGTCGATTAGTGCGCCTTTAGCAACAACTAACACAGAGTCATGAATTTTTAACCAAAGCCACGAGTTAAATCAGGTTGAGAGGTGAAGGCAGGGTGTCTTGTGGCCTGTTTGTTGATCAGTGTGTCTGGTAAATCAGAATAAACCCTGTGGCCTCTTCACATTTACTTATACTTGAGCCCAGCAAACGTTTTTCTCTGGCAGAGATGAGCATAATATTGACCAAAGCAATGCCCTTTGCATGTTTCTGAATGAAACGATAAAGCAAGAATCAAACCTGAACTGAACTATTCCAAATCGAAATAAGTAATATGAGCTGGTAAAGAGGATCCCGTTGAGAGTTTGTTGAATAACCCCTGTTGACACATCATGTTTGCCTTTTTGAGTAGATATGCAATCTGGAAAGCAGGATTTGGAGTGCATTAATTTTGTGTTAAAATGTCCTAAAAGTGACAACATAAAACATGATATTCGTAAAACAACCTATGACCTTTGTTTTCTCTCACATGTAAATTTAATTCAAACTCAAATTGAACTTAAATTTTAATTTTGTCTATGAGCTTTAAAAGATCTGCCCAGTACTGTAAACTGCAACAGATTCCCAATTTCCACCAGTAAATATTACAAAATGCACACTTAATTAATCAAGCTACTAGTTCACAGAGTTTTTGTTTAGTTTATCTGTTATGAAAATAAATAGTTTTTTGTACATAAAATTTATTTGGTCTATTGTGAAATTGCTATAAAGATGCAGTTTCATAGTTCTCCAGTTTAGTACAAAAAAGCATTTCACATCCAAAACTCTCCTGCCATAAGCAGGATGTGAATGCAATTCAGACTGAAATCAAAGTGGAAATTTAAACCTTTATGATTCTTACAAATGTCCTCCACCCACCTTTCAATGTAGCCACTGATTTTTCTGTGGTCCATCACAGGGGAAGAAGAAGAGCTTGTTGTTCACACATAACCTCTGACCTGCCACTGCAGAGCCTATGGGGGAGTGGCCTGTGTCTTAGGAGCTCTTGCCCTCTGAAGTGATGGCTCCAGGCTATGGGCTTTGCATGAACCCATCCCCCATAGTGCCCCTTCGCCACTAGATCCTCTGCATTATTCATATATCCCAATATGAAGTTGGGAGGGGAGGTATAATATGGAAACAGAAGCATCAAGGTTCAAGACCTTCTCATATCACAAGGAACTTCTGCTTAACCTCTTGAGGAGGCATGGATGTTTTCTTTTTTTAAGGAACTAAAAGAGCAGGACTAGAGATCAATGGGGATTCCCTTGAGGCTTAGTGGAGATCATATTCAGCGCAAGGTGATTGGTAGATCAATGTGGTTCCCATGATTCGCTTTGCCATTGTGAGAACGTCCTACTGCAGCTGAACAAGCGCAACAAAGGCTAGTACAGATCACGAATAAGTTGTGTGTGTGTGACAGAAATGTCCTGTAGGAGTTACTGTGGACAAGTACTGAACAATCCTATGTATTTTTTCTTTGTTGTTAAAGCATTTCTCATTTTACCTGGATAAAAACACAATTATCCCGAATGCATCCGGACCGACTCATAGTACAACCCATAAAGCACATAACTTCTGATAGCACATCAACTCTGTGTGACCAGTAAACCCCTCAATAAGCACAAGGAAAGGAAAACAACTCGGATATGACTGACCTGAGAAGGGACCTAGAAAACAATTATCTTATGAGCTCAAATAGACTCGTTTTGCAATGGAGCCATCACCTTTCAGGAACTAAAATTTACCATTCACATGAAGTCATGCTTATAACCCCCAGAGGTTGCATAACTTCAAATGTAATTCTATCTTTATATTGTGTGGCCTTTATGAAAAATGACCCATTTGCACATATTGGGGTGGAAGATACTACGACATCTATACAAATGTTTAATTTGTTTTAACAAACGGGGTTAGCCCAGGCCATGACAAAAACATAATTTGCTTTTCCATATCATCAACAATCTGCAAGGTGGATAACCCACATCATACAACATCCAGTGTCTTTGTATAAGAACCAGCCACGAATTCAGAATAAACAGCAGCAGTGAAAAGATGAATAAATAAAGTGGTTGCTAGATTAATTCTGGGAGACAAGGAGGCAGGCAGATAAAATAAACTAACAGCAGAAGCTGTCGAGCAGATAAAGTGGGGTACCCTGTCCTCTCTCTGCTGTAATTATTGGCTAATAGTCATTAACCTGGCAAACAGAGGTTTAGCAGCATTGTTTAAAGGACTCAGGGATGCATAATGACAGACTAATATGTCATAGCACTGGGGGATGTGGGGGAAGGGTGGATTAATGAGATTTTACTGGAGGGAGTGTACAAGAAACACGCCTGGAAAATATAGGGGGAAGAGGGCCACATTAAGCTAATTGGAAGATGAGTGCCTACTTGTAAAAGTGCTTCTAATGGCATATTTGTTTCTCTCACAGCATCACAGGGCTAATGCAGGGGAGTGGAGTTGTGAGACTTATGGTAGTAAAGATTATAGGGGCATGTTTTTGTCAATGTGTCAACAGACTGTAAGCATCCAATATCAATTCATATGAACTTTTTGTCATTTTTGACAGTTTAATTTAGTCAAATTTGCTAAATAGTGAGAAATTAGTAGCTGCCTTTAACTTAAAGCTTTGTTGATTCAGCCAACTTGAATATAATCAATTGTTTATCTGGTAGTACCTAAAAAAGACCAACTTGTGTTGGGTGATGGCTCGAAATATTCCCGGTGCAAACACTTTCTGAGTGCCATCTAAAGCTCCACTGACCACTGAAGAGGAGTCTTTGGCTTCCACTCAGACAGCGTTCAGAGGAGAAAAGAAATGCTGACCTATTCTGACAGCTAGCTGGCACTTCTTAACTCTAAAGGATTGCAGTTTGGCTGGTATCACTTGTGTTATAGTTTTCATTTGACTGAATTACTTTAGAATTTAAGTCATAAAGCTGAGCTGGCATTGAATATAATAATACTCAGTAATGATGGCATAGTATGAAAGCTTCACATTGATGGCCTCTTATTTATCTACAAGAATTTGCCATTTTTGCCTAAACTTGCCTAAATTGGCAAAGGCAGTAATTCAAGTAGTAATTGAAATTTAATTTAAACATCACTGAAAGTTATCCCTAAAATGCAAATTTTCTTGCAATGTATTTGTAAAACAGAGACACTATTCTTGGACTTAACTCTTAAAACTGCATTTAAAATCTTCCCCTCTTCCCCAGTCCAAGCTGTACCTTAGTGCATTTAAATGTGTAACCCAAATGTGTTCTTTTTTTTGTCTCTTGAAAATATGAAAAGACTGAAGTACTTCTTAGAACCACAATTTCTAAAGAAATATTATGGTGGTGGAACTATTTAAAGATTCATTTTCTAACATGCTTTGATTTTTTTGTTTCAATTAAATCAAATGGAAGTACTAATGCCCAGATGGCCATGCAGTATGAAATAATAGTGTCCAGGCTAGAATTTAAAGTCATACCTCCAGGCTAAAACTCCACAGCGCACACAGAATGAAAGTGTAAAATGTTTTTTAATGTATATTTAACAACAAATACCCCAGTGACTATTGATGTTTCGTCTCAGAAGAATCTATTCCTCCAGTATATCTGAGGGCATGATATGAAACCACTCACACTTTTATTTTCTCTGTGTTTCTTCCTCAGTGTCTCTCTCGTACTCTTTTTTGCTGTCTCTCTTTAAACATTTATCTTCTGTTTTCTCCTCACAGGCCCTTTGTGTTTTGTGATGTTGGTTTTTACAGCTTTCTACTCACCAGAGTTGCCATTTATCTTTTATAGACGCCAGCAGCTAGGAGCACATAAGAAATGTTACCATTTCAGTAAGACTAATTGTCATTGCTTGTGCTTTTCCCTTGATGTCACTTGTACCTGTCCCCTCAGGATTCTGTGAGTGAACTGTAGTATTTAAACTACGCCGTCCTGCCTGTCAAGTAAATATTCATTTTGTTCACACAAATAGCTCATCTCATTTAAAAAGAAAAGTATTTATTTATCAATTACCTTTTAAAGTCTTTCAGTTCTTTAAGGCATGGTGAGACACTGGTACTTCCAGGGGGATGAAAGTTTTCTATTTGCCTCAATCCTAATAGCTGCGCCACAAAGTCAGTATAGAGTGTTTGCCAAGATTCTTTTCCCAGAATCCCCCGCCATCTCTTGATGTTTGACAATGTGCACATTTGCATGGAGCGCGAGTTTCTTATTTTTCAGCTGTTCATATTCCAAAAGATACTAGCCAAGTGTTCTATTTGGAATAATCCTCAAGTCCCAGCAGAGTAATTCTGGTATCATAGGATGGAAACATGTTTCTCATCATTCCCAGGCCCCCAAAACACAGGAACAAGAACAGCAAAGAGTTCTCATAAATCATCTGTTGTTAACAACTATGTTACCTTTTTGCCATTTCCACGGGAAGCTCCTGTCAATTGGTAGCTGATTCAACAGACAAACAGCAACATTCTATATGCATCACCAACATTTGATTTCTATTTATCATTTAGTTGTAAATAACATGAAATCATCATAAATATTAAAACTAGCCGGTGAAAAGAACACAACTTCAAAGCCAAAGACAGACATTCCCTGCACCTAGCAGTGTGACCTCAAGTTTTTTAGACTGCCTGAGATAGTGAACACCCAAATGCCTTGTAACCAAGGTCTGATTATTGACATGTATAAATTATTCTTCTGTATCCGTAAGACCTTTTTGTTCTCAAGCGTAGTTATGTAAATAATCATAGGTACAGCTTTGCACAAGGGGAGTCTGAAGTGTAGTTCACTTTGTTTTGCCAACTTTTTTTAGTCTTTCCAAATGACTAAAATTGATGCAATTCACAAAGACTTCCTTTTAATCTAAGTACTTTTGATAGGTTTCTTGTGACTGAGCATAACATTTGAACACTTTAATCACTTTGTGATAAATGTGTACCATCTGCAAATTTGAACTATGGAAAAGAGTAATAGATGCATAATGTAAAGAAAAGAGAAACTTCAGGAGTCGATTTATATCATTGCTCAGTCAGTTATGTGTGGCTTCAGGGACCTCTGAATTTCATGAGAAGAAAATTTCACCTAACCCCTGCTCCATTTTCTTTTTTGACTTCTCTGATTATTCACAATCAATAAAGAATTGTATCTTCTCTCCTTTCTTCTCTGGGGCATTTAGGATGCTGCAGGCAAAGTGCTGGATCGCTGGACCATCATGTCCCGTGAAGAGGAGATCATCACCCTGCAGCAGTTTCTGCGCTTTGGTGAGACCAAGTCCATTGTGGAGCTGATGGCCATTCAGGAGAAGGAAGGTCAGGCAGTTACAGTTCCCTCATCCAAGACAGACTCCGGGATTAGGACATTCATTGAAAGTAATAACAGGACCCGCAGCCCTGGACTCATGACACATCTGGAAAACAGTAGCCCATCCAGCATTCACCATTTTGAAAACATCCCCAATAGCTTAGCCTTCCTGTTGCCATTCCAATACATCAACCCGGTCTCTGCCCCTATGCTTGGCTTGCCCCCCAATGGCCTCCCCATGGAAAAGCCTGCCCTGAGGCTTCGGGAACCTAGCCTGTCAAACCAAGGGGAGCAGGTGGACACCAGTGAGTCCGAAGTGTCTCTATCACCCTTCTGCACAGGTCAGAGCCCTAGTCGTGGAGTACTGGGAGCCATCAACAACACTGAACCGAAGACAGAGCCCAACAACCGTGCATCACCCATCTCCCCTTCCCCTTCCTCTCAGCATGCTCAACAGCAACAACAGCAGACACAGCTCCAGCAACAGCAACAGCAGCAGTGCCAACAGCAGTCCCAAAATCAACCTCAGCCCAACAGTTTAAGTGACCACCAGGTGCACCATCAGTTCGTAAAGGATGAACCTTCTAAAACTATCAGTCATCCTTCCTTCTCCTCAAAGATGCATCGTATGCGCCGAATGGGTGCCACCTCACGAAAGGGCAGGGTGTGCTGCAACTCTTGTGGGAAAACCTTTTATGACAAGGGCACTCTAAAGATACACTATAATGCTGTACACTTGAAGATTAAACATCGCTGCACCATCGAGGGATGCAACATGGTCTTCAGCTCACTGCGCAGCCGTAATCGCCACAGTGCCAATCCCAACCCACGGTTGCACATGCCCATGCTGCGCAACAACCGGGATAAGGACCTCATCCGGTCCAATTCTAGCTCTGGTACACCAGTCATCTCAAGCAGCAAGAATGGAGGCTTCACACTAACCAGCCCTGGAAGGCCACCTCTGGGCTTCACTACGCCACCTGTAGACCCTATGCTTCAGTCACCCCTGCAAAGTCCACTAGTGTTCCCATCACTGAAGTCAGTGCAGCCTGTCCAGCCAGTGCCCCCATTCTACCGAACGCTACTGTCCCCAGCAGATCTAGTCAGTCCTCCAGTGTCACTGCCAACCAGCCCTATCATGCCAACAACTACCAACAGCACTACTCTAATGGATCAGCAACAGCAGATCCTGGCTGCTGCAGCTGTTGCTTCACACAATAACATTCACATGTCAGAGGTAGGCCACTTGTCCCACCGCTTACAAACTTCTAGCGTCAATCAGGACCTCACCACAAGCAACAGTGACCCCACGCCCAAAAAGAAGCCTCGTAAGTCTAGCATGCCAGTTAAAATTGAGAAAGAAGTGATTGATGTGGCAGATGAATATGAGGACAAAGATGAGGATGATGATGACATCCACCATAATCACCACCATCACCAATCCTCTATTCTTCACAACAATATCAAAATGAATGGAACCTGCAACAACAACAGTGGAAATGGCAGTGGACACCAAAGTGGTGGAAGTGGGCAACAATCCCCTTCCCAAGATGACATGAGCCCGGGCTTAGCTCTGAGAGGCATGATGAGACAAAGTGAAGATGAGTGCAGAGAAGGTACCGGGAGTGACAGCAGAGGCGCAGCGTCAGAGCTACGTTGTATGGACAGCTTTACCTCAGAAGATCAGGACCACGAGAGAGACTTTGAAAATGAATCTGAAACCTCTGATTCCAAAATGTTCTATCGAGATGAGCTGATGGACGTGGAAGAACAACAAAAGCACAGCAGGGGCGGGAGGGTTCTTGACAAAGAACAAGACAATGACGGTAGTGATGAAGCTCATTTGAGAAAAGAAATTGGAGGAAAGAGTCATTCTTCTCCCTCCCCTAACCAGCCCTCTATCAAGATCAAAGAAGAACTCAATGATCCAACATATGACATGTTCTGCATGAGCCAGTATGGTCTCTACAACGGAGGAATGGCAGCAGCTGCTGCTAGTATGGCTGCTCTACATGAGAGCTTCATCTCGTCGATGGGATATGGTGCCAGTCCACCCAAATTTCCTTCCTCGCAATCGCCAGAAGGAGATTCATGTTCAAGCCCCGACCCCAAGATTTGTTATGTGTGTAAGAAGAGCTTCAAGAGCTCTTATAGCATGAAACTGCACTACAAGAATGTGCACCTAAAAGAGATGCATGTGTGCACTGTGGCTGGCTGCAATGCTGCCTTCCCCTCCAGGCGGAGCCGAGACAGGTTAGTGTTGACACTTTGTAATATAACTATTTTACTTCATGCTTGTATCTGTGTCATTTACACAGGTAGGTTTTCTTCAGCTTTATTACACTGGCATTAAAGCATCTATGTTAAAATATCTAATTTAATAAGCTGAAGTACGGTGTAACATTGTTCAGCATTTGCAAGTTTATTTACCATGACGGTAAACTAAGAGTGGATTTGCAAACTTTTTTCTGGATAGGCTGTCACATAACATCTGTTTGCTGATAGAAAAACTAAAAAAGGATTCAAGGACATCTGCTATGTGTCAAGTCAAAGTTCAGAAGACTGAAGTGCCATGATGAGACACATATACACACACTGAAAAACGCAATAGTCCAACCTAACCCTCCAGGTGTAGAGTGTTGTTTACCTGCCTGCACTGCCTCACCTTGTCACAGGGAGATGTAGGCGCATGCATTAACATTCACAGCGGTTTGTCAAACCACTGCATTTATTAGCGCGTTAAGAGGTGAGGCTAACCGTACTCACCTGGGCTTGTTAGCACATATCAGTCCCCACACACTCACACTGCAGAATATGGATGCAACATATGCTGGAGACTGATAAGATCCTGAGTGCCAGTGGTTAGCACAGGCCCAACAAAGTAAAACCATTAGTTGTTTACATGCGAATAAATGTATACACACACATATTCATATAACAAAGATATAATATTTGTTTTAAAGTAAAGGACAAGCTTTATATATGCGGATTTAGTTTGACATTTTGTCTGTGTTTTGTCTCTCTCGCACACTTCATGTCTCCTCTTCTACGCCTGCTGCCACCTTCACCCAAATTTGCTCCTTCCTTTTCACCCTAAGCCTTTTATTACGTTTGCTATTTTGTGTTATTCGTTCCTCGCGCTGTTTATTCATAAGCAGCATGTAAAAAGACGTATCTGAGACCTTATTATAATCGAGCAGAGAGAGGAGCAGAGAGAGCAAATCATGAGTCCACAAAGGTGAAAACCTGCTGCTCACCTAAAACAGCTTTACCAAGAGTAGCAAGATGACAGAGGTGTTATTGTGGCATGTACTGCCTCACTGTGGTGTACTGCCACCAGTGAGTCTGTAAACTCCTAGGCTTTAGGAATAGTAAAACGCCTCAGGCAAGACTGGTCTGCCTTGCATTATGTGAATTCACACATATGAATATGTACTTTCACATATTTACACACATTCAGAGATTGACGCACACACTCAGGGATGAAGACAAACAGCTGACAGAGAAAAGCATTTACTTGAGAATTTGCAAAGTTTCCCTATAATTATTTAGACTTACAAAGGGTTAAAAGAGAATACATTGTACATTTTTAAGGAAACTTCCACAAATTTTTCATTAGAGCTGCACCAGCAAGTGAATACACAGAAAGTTATATTGTCATATTGCTCATACATGTAAGTTAAAAAGTCTTTGGTTCTCTTTGGTCAGTTAGGCCTTTTAATTTTCCCATTGTCATAGCTTGTAACAGCTCCCGAAACACTAAATTGAGGTGACAACAGTGAGAAGTAAAAAATTATTAATGATTGTCAGAATAGAAAAGCAGAAAAACCTACTGGGAAAGTGGGTTTTCAGAAACACTTCAGTAACGGGTGAGGGAGTTGCTACAGACAGGCAGATACAAGTTAAAAAAAAGAGAAAAAAAAATTTTCGCAGAGAAAAATGAACACCTTGTCAGCTTTGACATGAGAGTTAAACACCATTGATGAAAAACACCATCATGTAAATGCCACACTAACACGAATCGGGGTAGAACATATGTGTAGTAGAAATAACTTTTTAGTGCGGAAAGGCAAGCTACTATGACAATAATGCATCTTCAAGCCAGCATAGGATAGCTTTGAGTAAATGAGACGTATGTACACTGTTGTTTCCATAAGCTTCCTTCCAACATATGGGACATATTACTCTGCTGTAGGTTCAAACAGGGAACAAAACAACAGAAAGTGAAGTACTGCATTGCTAGAGAAATCCTGGGGTTTTGAGACGAGTCAATACACAGGCTGCACGCTCTTCAAATCTCTCCCTGGATAATCCACTAATGACATAATGTGTATTTGAGTGTAATGGAGGCAATAAAATTGGAATATAATTTAGTTGTTTTCATCAGAGCATTTGCTCTGATAAAATTAAGAAACTGCACAGTTAAATTTACATGTATGAAATAATGTTTAATTTCTTTTCTAGTAAATTTGATTAAATAACTACCCTCTTTATGTTAATAGGATTATTTTTAGCAGATTCCGACCATCAACAATTAATAGTCGATTTTTTCAGCAGTTTATCTATGAAAGAAATATTTAACTTGAAGGAATACTCTTTAAAACATGACAGGAAACATGATTTTTTTTCAAATGATTTTTTCCTAACTGATTACACAACTGATTGATACAGATTAAAGCAGAATTGTAAATGCAGCAGTGCCTGGCTGCTCACATCAAACAGGAAAGTCCTCTACATATCTGATTAGTGTATTGACAGAGAAAAAGCCAAAGGCATGTAGTACACCATCAGGCAGCATCAAAAGCCAGTGTATCAAAGTAAAGAAGAAAACAGATGAGAGGTCACCTTATCTAGAGACGAAAATAACAAGCAACTGATGACACTGTTTGGAACTGAACATACAATACATGTACCCCCTCTAATACTTTATTAATATCTCTGCGCTGTTAAAAGAAACAACAAAAAAACAATTGATTTTAGATGTATTCGAAAACATTTTTGCACAAGCAAAGGATCGTTTCATGTGCCCCGGAGCAAGCATGGAATGCAAATGTTTTTGACGAAAAGATGTGGTAATTTTACATGCATGTGGGTAAAGTTTTACTATCCATTGGCATGTTTTTTTAATAGACTCCAATTTGCTTGCTGCACAGGGGTAAATGATTACACATTTATTTTGGGGAATGCGCAATTCTGACCAGGTGATGAAGAGGCTGAAAAATAAATTGCTTCAGAGTCACATACCAGTCATCATCACTCTTATTTACCTTGTTTATTATAGTTGCTAAACTCGAGACAAGACTTGCCTTTCATATTTAATTTTATTTTATCGCCTATCTTAGATTTCTTTTCAACCTTCATCCCAACATTTTAACCTCCCCCCTCTCTCGCGTGGCTCCCTCTCCCGCATTCCCATGGTGTCCCATGGTTGTCCCTACATGGGCCACTCCAAACGGAGAGAGTGAAGGTTAATTATGTTGGAGAATCTCTTTCCTGTCCTCCTTTCTCCTTTTCCCTTGGTCCCCTCGCGGCATGTGGGCCCAGCTCCTCTGCTACACAACCAGCTCCGCGTTTGTGTCTTCTAAACAAAGGGCATGCTGCTCATAGAGAGAATATAATACTAAAAGCCATTCAACCCCCTTTTTAAAATATCTAAAAAAAAACGGAATCTTAAAACCTTTTATGCCTTTGATTTATCGCTGACAGCTTAATTATGATTCATTTTAAGGAGAATAAAGGAAATGATTGTTTTTCTTAGAAGAATATCATATAGACACCCATGCATGCACACTACTATGAACAGAACGTTAATTAGAAAACTGCTGGTAATTTCAAATCATAACTTGATTTTATGCACATTCAAATGCATAATTAATTCTGTTTGCTCAGTTCTTTGAGGTTTCTTAAACCGTTTTTGGCGTATGCTGTTGCAGAAGTTGAAACAATAGAGGGGAGATAAAACAACAAGAGTGATAAATGTTGCTAAAATATTTGACCTCCCACTCACGCCTAAAACCTTCATAACACACCCCAAATGATAGCAAAGACAAAGAACCATCGGTGTCATGTTGATACCACTCGGCCCTCTGTCTTGTTTAAACATTATGAGTCATTTAGATGACATACACACATTCATGTATAGAGACACGCACATTTGCATAGATACAAAAGCAAGGGCAAGGGCCATCAGGTGAGCATGAAGATGATTAACGTGGATTGGGACAGGCATGCTCTCACTCTGCCTCCTCTGCACAGTCAAAAAAAGGTTCTCTGGAGGCCTCCCCCATCTTTTGGACGGAGATGAAACTGTCAAATTGGTTTGCTTGCCACATTACCGGGCAGCGGGGAGGTACTGTAGCCGTAGGAATGGGGGTGAGAGAGGGAAGAGCCTACTGAAGAGCATACTAAAGGGGTGTGAAGGAGAAATTAGAGAGAGGGAAATGGGGCAGAAAGACTAAATCCGATAAATGAAGGGACGAGGGCAATAATATCCTCAGTGTGGATTCAGCTGTATTTGTGAATATTTTCCATTTTAATATTGTAATTTTGCAGCAATGCGGTGTGCATTTTGACTGTCTAAATTGGCAAATGTTGCTAATCTGCAGAACACTTACTGCATGAAATTTAGCACGTTTTACTTTAGTAGATAGAGTGTGGTCAATTTGGAGCTTATTAGCAGTGAGAAGGTGCTGTTTAAGAGATGGAGACGTGTTGCAAAGGACCTGCCTACCTGAGCATCATCAACAGCATCCTGAACCTCAGGCTTAACTTGCTTAAGGCACATCTCCACATCTCAAGCTTGTTGTGTTTCTGCAGAAATTGTACCCATTTTATTAATCACACTACTGACAACAATGTGTTTCAGACTGTCAGTAAACAGTCTGATGCCTCACAACCAAGCATCCACATTCATTTGACATGTTAAAAACCATGACTCCCACGTCATAACCATAACTTAAAGCCATATGGTTGCAACGGCACTATCAGAGGATAAAGATAGACCAAAGATTTATACAGGCTTTTTGAACAAAGTTTCATGATATGGAAGAAGTAATTTTTCTGCTTTTCACACAAACAAACACACAAGCACAAGCACACACAAACACACACATGCTGTGACAGCCATGGCCAATCGATTTGCCACGCTCCCTCTCCACAATGCTGACGATGCTCGAGTGGACGGGCTCCTCGTTGCTTGGTTCACAGAAAAGGGTCCCTCAAATGAATGTATTTTTACCTCTTGCAGGACTATGTCGGATAGGGAAGTAAATAATTAAAGGAAAGGGACCCTTTTTGACTGCATCAACCCTGCCACTGCTGGTAAGCTCTACAATCCATTGTGACTCCATTTTTGCCCATCCTGTAAAGGATGACCTTATTCTTTTCTTTTTTTTTCGTGCCCTCCCTGCATGGAAAACCCTTCACATTAAAGGCACTAAGTGTATGCATATTTTTTCTCTGAGTGATGAGCTGATATGACAGGAGCAGGTCTTGTGGATGTTGTACTTGACGCTGGTCATTGGTTGCCTTTAGTTTTCTTTGTGTTTTGCAGTTTTATTGTGACATGTGAACTGTGACACCCTTCCCCCCATACCCCATATGTTTTAAGTCTTCCTGGAAACTGTGAAATTGGTATAAAAAAAAAAGGTACTGACCTACATCTTCAAGCCCATTTCACCTCTGCGTCTTCGCATGTCTTTGTTTGCTAACTAATTGTAACCTGGCTTAAGCATGGCATTTGTTATTGGGTTTCTTTCATCAGCTGTTGCACATTGTGTGTTACAGTTTGCCCTGCGTTTGGGAAATATGCCCATCTTAATTAAATCCATGGCTACATAGAGACATGTTCATTGAGGTGCTCGATTAAGCCACCTCCAATAGGGAACCGACGTGATAATGCTGTCAGGGCCTAACGCTAATATGCTATCCAGTTCCCCTCGATTATCACATTACCACAGCTCGAATCAATTGATAAACTCCCATTCAATATGGTGGAGTATTTAATTGAGTCAGAGTCTATTGGATTTGAGGACTGTGCAGGGCAGACATGCTGACAGTGGTAAACACTTGCAGGATGCTCTGTCTCGTTGCTATGTTAGCGCACTTTCTCCGAGCAGAGTTGTCTCTGGTGTGGGTTTCTCTCTGTGTGTTTTTGGGCCTGCACTGATAATAAAAATGATTACACCTGTTGTCCTTTTGAAATGATTTTACTGTATTAGGATCATTTGACAATGTCAAAAATGAATTATTGTGCACTGTCAAAATACTGATGTTTAGTTATGACTCTCTCTTCACACTAGGCACAGCTCCAACATCAACCTGCACCGCAAACTGCTGACCAAAGAGCTGGACGACATTGTCCTGGACCCCCAACTCACGCCATTACCCAAGGACCTGCAAGCCGAGTTACTGGCAAAGATCTACGCTGGGTATCACATGGGCCTAGACCCCATGGCCAGGATGGGCATCGGAGGGGCCTATTTTGCACCCCCTGGTCTGAACCATAATGCCCATTCCCCCATGAGCAACGAGTACCACCACCATCCTCTTAATCAAGACCTTAAAAACCACCACACTAATGGCCTGTTCCAGGGCCAGCCCGACGACTACATGGTGTTGGATTTGAGCACGACATCCAGTGTTCAATCCAGCAGCAGCGTCCACTCCTCACACGGGTCGGAGGAGGGCAGTGATGAAGGCATCTTGTTGGATGACTTGGAAGAGGAGGGAGAAGATGAGGAGGAGGAGGGCAACAGTGAGGGAGACGATTGCTCCCAGCGTGCAGAGGGGCAGGCTGAAGGAGGCCATCAGGATGAGACTGGAGAACATAAAGAAAGGCGAGGTGAGGGATTGGACCCTTCCTCCTCACCGTTCTTCCTTTCGTCCACAGGGGGCAGCAATGGTAGCCCCAGTGGGATCCTCTGCAACATCTGCCACAAAATGTACAGCAACAAAGGGACCCTGCGTGTGCACTACAAGACTGTGCACCTGCGAGAGATGCACAAGTGCAAAATTCCTGGCTGCAACATGGTATTTAGCTCAGTGCGCAGCCGTAACAGACACTCTCAGAACCCCAACCTCCATAAAAACATGCCCTTCTCTACAATAATAGACTAGAGACTGACTTGCTACTTGACCCTCCTGTTTGTCTTCCCACCCCTCCCCTCATTCCTCATCCTTATTCCTCCTCATCTTAGCTAGTAACCCCAGCCCAGGAACATCAACTGCAAGCTAAATGCCTGTATGCATCCTTCCTGTCCATTGTAAGTCATTACGAGACACTTATATCTCCATCTATAAAAATGAATTGACTTAATCATTGTGTCCTTTGACTTGTTCTTCTTTGGAAGAACAGGATGACACTTATAGGCATTGAGTTTGCTTTCAAATAAACTTCCAGGAATATTTCATAAGCCCATCAATATTTTCTTTTTCTACCCTCTTGTGTTGATATCCATCTCCAAAGATTCCATTCAAACTCTTATTTGTGACTTTGCCTGCAGAAAAAAATAGTATTGACAAAAGAAAATCTTCTTGTTGTATTTGTGTAATGATAGCTTTTTAATGAACCCCTTACAAAAGCATGACAGCTCCATTTGTAAATATTGTCCCAAGAGGCTTTCGGTGTAAAAGTTGTGTTGATGGTTGTTTGCTTCTTTTTATCCTCTCTTTATGGTTTTATGTTACAGTCCAGTACAGTACTTCCAGCGATAGGCAAGAAAGAGGTAGCATCTTAATAGCTCGACTCATTTATTTTAGCTTCAAAGGAAAGATTTAAACTGAGTCCTAGGGAAAAAACAAATATCATGTGACTTGTTTTAACTGCTTGTTAGATATTCAGAAGTTGCCAGCATGCTTTTGAGGCTCTTACACTGATATCATTCTCTGTGTTTCTATTGATTTCTTTTTCTTTCTGTCTTTTTTTTTGTCTGTTCTGTTTTTTAAGCTTTAGTATACCAATTCCGTTTTTGCACTTTGCATCTATACAAGGGGATGTGTAATATTATTATAATGAGGCTTTTTGCAATGGTGACTTTGGGTGTTGTCTTGGGTCACTGATGCCCACAGTGCTGAGGGGGAACTGACAGTACCTTCAATATACTGTACTTGTGCCAGTTTCTTATTGCACATGTTCAGCTTCCAACACAGTCTCACAATAGAAAACATCCTGGAGATGGACAGAACCAGAGCTCATGTATCAGTGCCCTAAAGCATCGATAGTCCAGGGCAGACTACATTTGAACTGCTATCTCACAAACTCAAAGAAACTGACTGAAGATAACATTAGAGAGTAAATGCTGTATGTTTCTCATGCACATCATAATTACTTCCAACATTTAGGGAATTCATTTTTCCATAGCATGTGATTAGTCGACCAAACAAAGTTATCAGTGCAAGAAATAGTGTGTTTTCAATTGTCCAACAGATGAGGCAAATTTTAAAATAGTCCTTAAACTGTGACCAAAGTATAGTGTTTGCTTAAAAAAGATTCTTAGAGTGTGACATTGTGCTTAAACCATGCCCAGTTGGATGCACTTAGGTCTTAAAACTTTATGTGACATTTTACTGTAGGTTTCCATTGCTGAGCACCAACTTTAAATATGCTGTATGAAAGACATTGACATTATTCTTCTCTTGGTTTCTAAGAACTTTTGACTTGACCATGGCTCTCACGGTACACATATTTCCAGTAAATAAACAAAGTAGCCAAGGGAGGGGGTATTTATTGGTAGGTGATGTGTCTTCATCAAGATGTATTTGTCCAGTGAAAGTACAGTTTTTGTTTAAAAAAAAAAGAAAAAAAGAAAAGAAAAAAGAAAAATGCAAAATGCAAAATAGACACTGTTCATCAGTTTGGACTGGTTTATCAGTGAACTAGTATTCCGATATGTTACCATACAATAACATCTACCCTGACTAGACTGGTGCTACACACAGTGTGAAAACATTCATTTTTGTGTGGTGTACTGTACAGTATTCACAACACCTTACATACATAATGGTGTGAGTTCCACTTATTTCTCAATTATGTCATTTTGCTGTACAGACATGACGAATTTCATGTATTCTTTTAAGACTCCACCTATATGACACATACAGTTTCTAGTTCTCACTTCTTAGAGATAAAGAGGGTGAGACAGAGAGCTGAGGCTGATGGAAAGGTTGCGGAGGTGGAAGGCTGACTAGGGGGGAAAGGATGACAGCAACGATCATTAAAAATGTGCTGCTTCTCTGTTACCTGGAGGCGTCCCGCCATTCTGGCTTCTTCTCTCTAATAACTCACTTGTCACTTCGTTACACTGCCAGACCTCAAAGCTGCTGACAAGACTGTGACACCGACAGAAGTAAGGAAAGAGAATATGTGCTCCGAACACTTTAATTTGACTCAGTCAATTAAGTTGGATTCAGTTCATCTCTTCATTTTCTCTGTGTGCTTATTCTTCTTCAGGATCGCTGGTAATTCAATTCAGTTCCTTTCTCTTGCTCTGTTTTTTTTTTTTCTTTGTCTGTCAGAGCACAGTAATTTAACAACCGCCTTACCCATTTCTTCAACCCGCCATTCACTTACCACCTCTACACGCCACAGCGCAGATCCTACAGGGACACACACTAATAGTGTATGCTTAAGTTCACTGGACGGGCATGGCATAGGAAAAAGGGATGGGTAATTGCCTGTTTATCCCAAGTGAAGGGAAAATTGAGTACAGGAACCCCTGCCTTCTCCCAGGAGTGGGTTCCACTGACGCGCTAGCTGCCTCATTCACTCATTCAATCCCTCCGGCTTTCATTCTGGCAGAAAAAAGAAAAAAAAAGGAGTGCTACTCCAGGAACCCTGCTGACAGCTGTCTCTCTAACACACACACAAACAAATATAAAAGAGAGAGGCACAGACTCAGAAGGATGGCAAGCCATAGATGGCTTATTAACCTCTAGTCATGTAGTTGGCAGGGACAGAAACAAATCTTCCCACCACAGGAAGGGTTTTTTCATTTTTTAGTATTACCAATTCAATAAAAATCTAGCATTCAGATAATAAGAGTAGCACAAACAAGAATCCTGTTAGACAGAATGTAGCTAAAGTCCTCTCTATTAAATCGTTTTTCTAAATCGTATGAAATACTTACAGCTTGTGATCTGGATAAAAAAAACTTCAACAGGCTCAAAAATCAATCGAATGAAGAGACCTCCATAAAATAATTGAAAGATGTGTACCCTGACCAATAACTTCTCCTTTTTCGTCTTCAGTCTTTTTTCTCATGCATTTCACATGTTCTGTTCATCACTGTCTATTGCTCAAGTAGCAGCCACAAAGCATGCGTGTCATCTGTGCTTCTATGTTCCAGGCAGAATAGTTGAATGTTATAAAGGTGGGTTGCTGGTAACACCCCTTCCTCTACCTCCGCGGGGCTCCTTTAGAGTGCTGGATGGTGCTAGTTAAGACAGCAGCACTAAAAGCTACAACAGGCCAGAGACTGAAAAAACATGCAAATGACTCTATAACTAGGGAGATAGTTGAAAAGGATGGATCGGTTGGAAATGATAGGGCTCAGAGTATTGCTGTACCGGAGCCTTGCTGCAGGCAGTGGGAAAAAAAAAAAGAGGAGCACGGAATGAAGTGAAAGCAAGAGAGCAGGGCCAGGACTCCCCAGGAGTCATTGCTGGTTTCCTCTAGATTGCCATTTGGAGAATGATCGAGCCACTGTAGACGTTTCCTCCCCCTCTCCTACACACTAGTCTTATCTGAGAACTGACCAATGATTACCCCTTCTTCCGCAAACATATACGTATTTTACTTCTTAATTCTCTAAACACATGGGTCAAAGTGCATTCAATGTCCTAGTGACCATGCTGTTGGACAGTAGAAACATTTTCACATAGAGTGCCTCAATGGCCCAAACCACTGGAGTGAATCTTAAATATTTGATTAGAACAGTGTCAGGCATCAATTATTCTGCAGTTCTGCACAGCACATTGAGGGAGAAAGGGATGGCGAAAGGATAAAATGCTTGACCTGTTAATTGCTGTCCATTTTGTTCATGTCACAGAATGACTGAGTACAATAGCTGTAAGGAGAGAGGATGAGGGGGTGACACTGCATGCAAAATGTCCAGTTAATGTAGCTCCTGGAACAAAGTGAGATAAAAATGTTTAATGGGACGTCATTAGTAATATGCAGATAGAAATAAAATACACACATGGGTTTGTATAGATGCTTCAGTATCACGAGTTATGTTCTAATCGAATGCCCTCATCAATTTTAACTGGAACCTGTGAAATATCAAATATCCCCCCAAAAAAAGAGAAAAACTGAAGAAAAACTAAATGAAAAAAGCCTGTAAATTCATGAAATGTTTTCCATTGTATTTTAAAATATATTTTACAGTCTTAAAGTATTAATAGCTTGAAGAGCTGGTGAATTTAGATTTTTTATTTTCACTTGTGTTTTTGAGTATCTGATGCATTTGTGTGTGTGTCTTAAAAAGCCTGTGTACAGCACTGGCACTCGACAGCATTGCATGGCTACATAGTCGCACTGCAGAGAACAAAAAGAGCAAAGGAGCTTGCATCACTTTGTTGTCAAAATGGTGATTTGGAAGCCTCATCGATACTGTATGTTACCTAAAGAGGTATTCCCTATTTGAGACAGAAGGAAAAAATATCCTTTTTATGAGACTCTTTTTTTCTTTCTTTTTAGCCTTACTTGTATTTGTTTCTGTATCATAACTGTCTATGGTTTTTGCATAAAATGCATAAGGGTTTTGGGATGTAAATGGAATTTTATTCATATTTTGTCCAAATACCTCTTGTAATTTGTATCAGAATTCTTGTACAATTTTTATATTAAAGATTTATCAGTCACTGGCATTTCATCATCTCATTTTATTTAACAAGATAGGAACTTAACTAGTGAACCAATCTGTGAATAAGAAGAAGAATGAAAGAGCTTTTGGCTGCCATTTACAGAAATAACTGCTTGCAAACAAAGTGTCAATCAAGCGAGTTTAACATGATTTATCCAGGCTTTCTCAGGCTCTATAATTATATCACGATTAAAAAAAAAATCATATGGGAAAAGGCTATCTTGACCAATTAGTAGACGATTAGATTAATCGACTTGAAATGTTCTGGCACTAGGAGACAGTGCTGCTGTGGTTAGCAAATTAGTGAGATGGTCATTGTTGGGAGTAGAAAACAGCATACGATCTCACATATGTTTGTGAGATCATATGTCGAAATCAAAATTTTAAAAGAAAAAACTTGCTGGTGATGGAACCCAGCAGGCATAAAAGCATTTTCAACCATCTAAGAAAGTTTTTTCTGTGAGTGTTATAAATCCGTCTATTCAAAGTTTATGTACAGACCTGGAAAATGTCAATGTCACAAAATATATTAACATGTTACTGGAAAATAAATCTAATTATATTTGCAGTCTAAAATAGTTTTGGACTGGGAAATTCCTCAGCACAAAATTGTATTCATCCTTAGAAAAATATTTGTGACATGTCTATGGAAAGCACATGTAAAATCTTAGTTGTTCAGTCTAAGCATTAAGCATGTTAGGTCATTAAGTTGCCCAGTTTTAAAATATTTGCATGTGAGCTCCAAACATGGTCACAGTGCCTCAAAGTCGGAGGCTTACAGTTATTTTGAGTTAATGAAGCTGCTTTTTAAAGATAACATAATTTAGCATTTTTGTAAAGGTACTGGGGTATTGTTTCATCTGAACTATGCTTACATACGTTGAAAACTAAATCCAAAAAGAATTTTGTGTGAGCATAGATATGTCAAATTTTGTAACAAGTAACTCAATAATCATAATCTGAAGCATCAATGCATTTTAATAGGGTTTGTATTAGCGGCTCTCTGCCCCATCCTTTAACACGGTGAGTGAGAGTGGAGTGAACTCTACTCAGATACTACAGCTGGCTGGACAGTTGAGCTCACCGCTATGTGAATACTAAAAAGTTCCTGTCCTGGACTATGAACCAGAAATGGCAGAGGAAGGCCGAGAAAACAGAGAAAAACGACAAGAGTGAAATATACAGCACATTAAAAATTTGATAAAAGTCTGTACAATTCATGGTTCCACCTGGCGTTCCTTTTTCTTAACAATTATTTTAGCCCCTTGACATAGATTAGCCAGAAAGAAAAGCCCAGTGCTAACAAGCTGTAAGAGGAAATAGAGCCACCTATCCCGGCAGAGTTAAGACATACTTGGGTCAATAAATCAATCCCCCTCCTGTGTTTGTTTACTAGGACCAAAATGGCTGTCTAGTTAAATGGCCATGGCTGAGTATAAATGTTGTTTAACTTTACATTGAATAGAGATATGCTGAAAGAATAAAAAGAAAGACAAGTCAAAAAATAAAATGGATGACTATCACAACAACAACAGGAAACTTAGAACAAAAGGTGATGGCATTGTTAGACAAAAATAAAAATCTTTTGCTGTTACAGGGGAATATAACAAAGAAACATAAGCTCCAACAGGAATGGGATATTTTCTTTGCTAACCAACAGAAACTTAATGTGTCATTCTTTTGCTCTTTGAAAGTGAAGGACTTATGCAGAACCTACTCACACTGAATTACACAGCAGTCCTTTTTGTCGTGTGCCAGATTGATGTAAGCTCATCATTGTTAAAAACTGCTAAACACAAGCAGTGTGTCTTACTCTCTCTCAACCACAAACAGACACACACTTCTCATTTATCGAACTCAGCTTTATGGGACTCAGACCATATACTGGCATATCTCACTCATTCATGCATGCGCACTATTTCTTAATGATGATCTCCACTAGAGTCGTTGTCTTCCATTAAGTTGATCTCCTTTCTCTATGAAAGAGCCTTAGCTGGCCATTGATTGTCCAGACAAGCACACTGTTGTGCTGT